CCCAAGCCATTTCCCATTAAATTCAGTTTAAATGGTGTATGCAAGCATCCATCACACACGGAGTCCAGTCCTTATTTAAAGTTCTAGATTTCATGTTGCACTATGTGCTTGAGGATGACAACTGTCCTCTACTGGTACAGTGTACAGGCTCTGGAGCCAGACTACTACTGTCCAACTCTTCCTCTAACTTCTCCTTTATAATTTTCAATACCTGTTAATGGCTTTGGTAAGTTATTTAACATTTCACAGACACATTTCCCCTCTAAAATTGAACATATTACACTAAACAACATCTATGAAGACCTTTAAAATTTTGGCACATAGTAAGTCTTCATTGATAGCTCTGTCATATAGGAGTACTGACCATTATTAAACCGATTGTTTCCCTTTTGTTGCCTCCCTGTGTTCTTTTTCTCAACCTACTATTGCCTATTCACTTTTTCTTTCTAATCGTTCACACTCAATATACATTCAGTGTGGTATTTCTTGATAACCATAAGCTGCATGATCCCTCTTCTTTGACACACTGGAAGTTTGCAATACTCTATATAGCTACAGATTTCTAATAATTTCAGTCGCTCTAATACTAAACGTCTAATTTTGCATGTCATAAAATTTTGAGAAAAATAAATCTACTAAATAAGTTTGGTAGATTCAGCCCTGTGCTTCAGATTACAAATCACTTTAATAGCTTTGTACAACCCAACATCTCGTTGTCATATAATAGGGAACTGATGTGAATTGTCAACATTTCTAAACATTTAAATTTTTTTATTTTATGTGTATTTTATCCTGTATGCCAGGTACATACCTGATATCTCTGGAGGTTAGAAGAGGGCAAGAGACCCCTGGAACTGGTTGGTTGTGAGCCATCATGTGAGCCTTGGGAACCAAACCCAGGTCTTCTACAAGAGTAACAAGTGCTCTTAACTTCAGAACCATCTGCTCAGCTCCAACAGTAGCACTCTTAAACACTGCTACATCATATATTCCTTAGAAAATTGTGTACTAATACTATTTCCATAATATTGAAGTGACACGGAATAAAGACATCAATTTCACAATTGTTAGCACTGTAGCAATGTCTTCTTCTACCAAGCAGAAAACATATGTATACATATATACACACACCTATCTTTTTTGCTTTTATTCATCTCTAAGTCAAATTCAAGAATCTCATAGGCATTGTGGGCTGGTAAATCCTCATCAATGTCTTTATGCTGGTATGCATTCCTTCAGAAAGGAAACTACATGCTCCAGTAGATTATGGTGCAGGTTTCCTTCTTTCAAAAATAAAAAAAAAAGTCTCTCCAAGTATCATTTAAGTTAAAGGCATATTATTTCAGAAATAATTATCTCCTCCCATTTGACATTTCTCCATCTTCTCCCTTATATCTTCTAAATACCAAATATAGATTAACAAGGACTTATTTCCTCTTGAGCAAAAATGGATATTTGATCTTGGCTAATTCAATTATCACTACTAATAATATGTCTTATTACATTTTTAAGCTTATATAAAGAAGAAAAAGAAGGAGTTTGATGATATAAAAGTAGTTTATCCTGGTGGTGACCAGGAAGCATTAAAAGAAGCATCAGGTAATTTAATATTTTAGTAAATATCAAATATTTAAAGTAGTGATTTTGGAGAAAACTGAGTTGGTGGTAATCTTCACTTGAATGCACATGAAGCTTTAGTTTATTCTGATGAATTGCTGATTTTTGAGGCTGCCTCTCATGTACTGCTTTCAGAATTTAATCTCTAGATAACTCACTTTTTTTTTACTGGTTATTGAACTTTCACTTAAGAACAGTTTGATGCAGGACTTATTATTATTAATTAGAGATACAAATTGACTGATTGTACTTTATATTCTCAGAATGATTTTAGAAAACTCAGGAATATTTCAGAAGCTAAATTCATTGACTCCACGATAAAATGAACATTTATTGAAGTATCACTTTCTATCATTGTTAGGCTGTGTCACTGTTTGTTCTTCATTTAAGCTCACCAGATTATACCATGAGCCCCAAAACAAGAAGTACTCTAATGATAAAGATAAAAATGAAAAACATTAAAACTGAATGCTATGACATTTTTTTTTTCACTAATAGCTTTCAAGTTGCAGTTAATGTGTAAACTTGGAATAACCTTGAAACATACCTTACTGGTTAAAACCTAAAGAAAACAAACTCCAAGTATTTTTCCCCACTGTGTATAATCTGTTTGCTTTTTACAAAATCCAGAAACCCCACAAAAGGACAATGCTAGTAATCTTTACCTGTCTAGTCTGTCACAGGACCCTTTGAATATGAGCTTGTCCTTCTCTGTGATGCCTTTAATGAGAATGACCTCCATAGGCTCATGTATTCGAATGCTTGGTCCCTAGTTAGTACAACTGTTTGCAAAGGGTTAGTAGGTGTGGCCTTGTTGTAAAAGAAGTGTCACTGGGGGTGGTGCAGCATTTAGGTTGCAAAAGCTAACCCCACCTCCAGTTAGCTTTTCTCAACATCCTATTAGAGTTTGGGCAACCTACCATAGCCCCTAAGGAAATCTTCCTCTTCCTCTACCAACAGTTATTACAGCTAACTATGGCTACTTCACTCTTTAATACTATTGAACATGTCTTTTGTCATTATGGTTGTTGTTTTCAGAGTCTCATCTTGCAGTCCAGCTTGGCCTCAAACTTCTAGCAGTCCCTCTGACTCAGCTTCCCTTGGCCTGTTAATACAAACATAAGCGACCAGACCACTATGCCTATTTGCAAGTTCGTTAACAGCCTGGCTATTGTTGTTATGCTTTCTGAGCAGTTTTGTCAGAGATATTCTAGGTTATAATATTTTTTTTTAGAATAAACAAGTGAGTCATCATTGTACCTCCTTCACTGGAATATAGCATTCCTGTTACTATATCCTAATATTCTCCTTCAGAATTTTCTCATGTACTACATCTACATACATCCAATGTCAAATTAGATAACGTGGTAAATTTTCCTTTTAATTATGAAATATGTTTTGTAAACTTATTAAGGGAAAAATATTGTTTACCATGATAGTTACCATGGCTTTTCCCTTTAATACATTTTTCCAGATTATTTTTCTGGTGTCCTATCATCCACCTCAGTCTTCTTCTGTAGTGTCTCATATATGCCAGCCTTTCTAGAAGCACATGAGCCTAGATTTTGCTGCTGCTATTATTTTTAATATGATAATATCTTGATCTTTACTCCTGAAATTTGTTATTCTCATTTAAAATAGACTTCAGGTTGACAGTTGATTGTTTTTATACTTTAAAAAACCCATCTGGGACTAGGGAAATGGCTCAGTCTTTGAAGTTTTGTCACACAGATACAAGGACCTGAATTCAGAGTCCCAGCAGTTATGTTAAAGTCCTGAGTTCCTAACTCCAGTGTTAGGATGGGGTGGGGGCAGAGATAAATGGATGCCTAGGCCTCAGAGGCCAGCTGAATAGATGAACTCCATGTTCAGTAAGAAACTCTGGTTCCTAATATTAAAGTAGAACCTGATCAAAGCAGACACTCGTCATTGACCTCAGACCTCCACATACCTGTACATACACTTAAATACACACACTGTAAACATATGTACACCATCATGGGCATGTACACACAACACACACATGCCTACACACAGGCAAAATATTCTAGTTAATTTTTTTCATAATTCTGACAAAATATTTTAATTACTGTTTATATAATATTTCTAATATGACACTATATACACTCCTCTATGCATTGCTATTCAGCATTGATTTTTCCCCTTTGGCAGATATTTTTATAGTTTTTAAATAATTTTAAGCTTTTTCTATTAAATAATTCAAATACAAATAAAACTGAGGAGGTGGCAGTGAAGCTTTGTATGGCCATGACTATCATTTTCAACACTTCATGAGCCACTTTAACTATGGCTTCAACATTTATGTGTTGCCAAGTTGTTTTGAAGCCCATTGCACTTATAACATCCTCATCAGTGTTTCAATATGTATTCTGAAAAAATAGAGAACATTTTAAAAATATGGTATAAAAATACCATTATTACATCACACATACTAATACTTCATAATTCCATATCATCAAATAATTAAGCACTGTTTACATTTTCGACAGTATCAAATGTCAGAAGACTTTTCAACTTAGTTTGAATCTATATTGAACAGAATAACTATTAGGTTGTTATGCCTTTGCCTGCCCTCTTTGAATGAAGTCCAGTTTAGTTTTCTGCTCTGTTTTGTTTTTGTCTTCTTTATTAGTATATGGTAATTATAAAACAATAGGATTCATTATGATTTTTATTATAAATGTAACATATAATAACATCTAATAGATAAAAATGTGATTTTTCACAAAAATCCCTCATACCCTCATGGAAAAAATTATGAAGAAACACGCCTAACACAAGAAAGGTTATGTGTGGCAAATCTGTACCTAACATTATGCTGAGTTGAGAGCTCAAATCTTTTCCACCAAATAAAGGACATGTTGCCTACACTCTAATCCCATATATACAATATATCATGCTTATAGTTTTACCTAAAACAATAAGAAAAGATAAGAATACAAAAAAAGAATATAAATGGTAAAGAAAGAAGGAACATCCTCATTATTTGTCGTCAGTGTTATTCTGTATACAAGAAGATAAAAAAGGCTCTAATAACAAACTCTTTGGACACCGTTGAGAATGTAGAGGGATGTATGGTCAGCATAGTTTCTCCAGAAGACCTTTCTTAATAATTAACATACCTTTATCATAATATAAAACATGCTGAGAAAGCCAAAAGAACAACGCCATTCACAAAAGCTTATTAAATATTTGGGAGTAAACATAATCAAGAAAACAAAAGAACTCTACAATGACAACTTTAAAATGCTGAATAAATTGATGACTCAAGAAAATTGGAAGACCTCTCAAGTTATGGATCAGCATAATTAATATTGTGGAAATGGCTATACTATCAAAATCAATCTACAAGTTTAATGTAATTCTTATCAAAATTATTATGAAATTCTTGAAAGAAATAGATAAAATAATCCCCCAAATTCAAATGTAAGCACAGAAGATCCTGAATATACAAAACAATACCTGAAAAAAAAAAACAGTGCTGAAAGTATCACCATATTAAATTTGAAGTCGAGCCATTGTTGTGGTTGTTTTTTTGTCCACTGAACACAAGCTAGAGTAATCTGTAAAGAAGAAACTTCAATTGAGAAAATATCCTCATTATTTTAACCTGTACACAAACCTATGAGGCATTTTCTTGATTTGTGATTGATGTGAAAGAGCCCAACTAATTGTGGGAAGTGAATCCCTGTGCAGGTGATCCTGGGGTGTATATAAAAGGAAACTGAGCAAGCCAGGAGGAACAACCCAATAAGCATCACTCCTCCATGGCTTCTGCTTCAGTTCCTGCCCTCAGGTTCCTGCCTTGAGTTCCTGCCTTGACTTTCCTTCCTGGTGAACTACAATGGTGAGATGAAATACACCCCTTTTCCCAAAGATGCTCTTGGTCATGGTTTTTATTACAACAGTAGAAACCTAAGATAACCATAATACCAAAAACAACATGACACTGCTACAAAAAAGGGCATGTAGAATAATGGAATAAAAGAGAAGACCCTATAAGCCCACACTACCAGATGCCAACTGACTTCTTACAAAGAGGCTAAAAATATGTATTGGAGAAAACGATACTGTCTTCAGCAAATGATTCCTGGAAAGCTGGATATCTACAAGTAGAAGAATAAACTAGATGTCTATTTCTTACCATATACAAAATTCAATTCCAGATATATCAAATAATGTAAAATATCTGAAACTTAAGTAAAAATTAGGGAATATGCTTAAAGACATAGGCATAGACAAGGATTTAACAAGAATTACCAAATGTATTTGCACAGAATTAAATGACCTCACTCTCCAAAAAAATGATTCTAGACAATAGGTCAATAGGAAGTTGACCAATACAACATGTAAATAAATTCATGCATAGGCACTTCTCAAAAGATGAAGCATAAATGGCCAAGAAACTGATGAAATAAATGGTCAACATCATTAGAAAAATGTAAGCCAAAACACCTTGAGAAGTGCAAATCAAAACACTGCCATTATTTCCCACTCCAGACACAATTCCAATCATTAAAAAACAAATGCTGATGAGGATGTGGATAAAAAATAAAAGAAAGTATGTCTTTACATGCTGGTGGGAATATAAATTAATGTAGTCACTGTAAAAATCTGTATGGATTGTTCTCAAAAAAATAAATAAATTCTACCATGTTAACTAGATAAATCCCTTTTGGATATTTACCCTAAAAACTTAAAACATATACAGAAACTTGCACATAAATGTTTATTTCAGTACAGTTCATAATTGATTATGAAATCAAAATAGGTGTCCTTCAGCAAAAGAATAAAGAAAATATGGTATATATGTACAACAGAAATATATTTAGTCAAAAAGAGAACAAAATTGTGTCATTTGCAAAAATATACATGCAATTGTAGAAAATTATATTAAGCAAATTAAATTAGACTCAGTGAGAAATATTGCTTGTTTTTGCCCATTTTTGAATCCTAGATTTTATGCAGATACATAAAATTATATATTCCCATAAGACATGAATTTACAAGTGAAATGGTGTAAGATTAAAGGTGACTAATGGTAATGGTAAGGGAAAGAAAGGGAAAAGAGAGGGGAAGTCTATTATATGCCTGTATGGAAATGACTTTATGAAGCCCAGCACAGTATAAAGTGTACACGCCAATTAAAAACAAGGGGGTTGAGAAATGTTTGCACTTCAGTGTCTTGAAAGTTTATGTAAATTTAATTTCCCTTGGAAATTGGCTTCAATTCTATGAAGTCACTTAAACCCAAAGAGCAATTTGTGTCTGGGATCGTTTTGTAGAAAATGTTTTTAGACTAGTATTACATTTATTTATTAGACAACAATTTTTTCCTATTTTTACTTGTTCATAAGTAGGAGTGGATATGTGAATTTTCAAGATCATTGTCTTTAATGCATGTTTTCATATCATGCATTTTGTATTGTACTCCTTTCTTAATCATTTGGTGATTATCTGTAGACTCTGCTGTGTTCATTTGACTTTTTTATCATTTTTTAAAATTTATTTTACAATACTATTCAGTTCTACATAATAGCCACAG